ACGATATTAAATACCTATCACATGACTGAGTCAACCTTTTTTTTTCATTAAAAGCCAAGCTGTACCTTCCTAGAGCGCGTTTACTACAATTTATTTTATCTTTAACTGGTTATTATAGTATTTAACACCTCTCTCAAGATGTTTATCGAAAATATTTCCTAGTTGTCAATGGTGAGTCATACAAGAAGCGCTCTGAATACTTTTTTCTGTATTTTTATACTGTCTGTGCTCGCTATCAGACAAAAGGGTGTAGGTTATCGTTTAGCACAGTTGCGCGGCAAAAATGCAAAGACATCCATCCACGTTAAAATATTAGCTTTGTCAATCTTTGTCATAACTCGACCACAATATTGACAACTTATCACAATTAACTAAACCGCTTGCCTCAATTTGTACAGAAATACTAACTACTGGAAGAATACTCGTATAGGATTGAACATAGGCTACCATTAAAAAAACATAACCCTCCTTCTGGCGCAGTCGGGCAAAAAAGGATCTGTACATTTATCAAAAGTAAGTTTGTCCAATTCCATCATATTTTATCCACGGCAAAACCACTGTAACAATAACATAACTGTGAATGTGATGTAATTTTCAATGGCCCAACAAACCCTTTTCAAGGCGATCTTGAAGTTCTAAGATTGTTCTAAGCACAACATTAGTCCTTGAGGGCTACAAATGTGTCTTTTAGAAGAACCGCCGTAGAATGATTAAGCATGACAGAGCCTTTGCGAATAAGTGCAAAACTATGTACAGTTAGCGCAAAAATATCTGCTTGCACGACGTTTTCAACCTGTTGCATTCGCTTCGCTCCACTAATTTGTCTTCGCCAAGCCTCCTAAAGTGCCGGAAATTATAGTTTTCCAACTTTAAGGCAATTCACTTTTCTGCATCATGTTTGATAAAATTACATTATTAATTATTATAGTATAGTCACAGCTGCATAGGCCCATATTGTAAAATGGCAGTAAAATATTAGAATATTAAGAGAATACTCAGATTGGTTCAAACTCTAGAAATCTACATAACTAAAATTTTAACCAGTTACGCTTAAGTTTGAATGCACTTGTGAGCTTCTTAAGAAAATTCATATTAAGTACCTATCTTTAATACATAATGCAGATATTTTCGCAACCGACTGTACACTAACGAGCACCATTCACATACGGCAACACCGATCAACAATGTGCTAGATTGTACCAGATCATACCTAGTTATAGTATACAAGTTAGGGAAAGCTTAGGGGCAATGCACATGGTCGTATAATTTAGTACCTATTGGGTGTATTGAATGCAGGCTTAGTGCTATAGCGTTATTCAGTTAAATCTTGCAACACGGAAGTATTTATAGGGCAAGTAGGTTGCCTAGGTACTTTACCAACACTGTAAGAAACCTTTTCAGATGTAAAAGTAAGAGATAGTTTAAAAAAATAGTCCTAAGAATAAGCTTATCATTAATAATAAATTGGCTTAAGGAACTGGATAAAAGCCGGGAGATTTTAAAAACTTCATTCAACTCAAAGTAAGAAATACAAAATCCTATCTAGAGCAATCTCAGGTTTCTCCAGGTCTTCGGTGCGGTGGTTAAAATGATATTTTTTATTACTTATCAAATCTTTATTAAGATGATATCAAAGTGTGTACAATCCTTTAGCGAAAGCATGTTACTCTCATTATGACATGAACTGCAAAGATGGACAAAGAAGCTAATGATCTACCAATGTGAAAGTTATACAAGGAAAAGTTGATAAGCAAGCAAACTAGCCGACAGAAATACACAAGTACTCGTATATTTTAAAATCATAACTAAGCTTTTTCTAGATTGCCAAAAAATAAAACCTTACTCCACAGGACAGGTAATGCCTAGTGTGGAGGTCAGTATCTTTGTGTTGTATTAATTAATCTGACAATAAATATTTTCATTATTTCTTCTTTCTTTCATTTACATTGGAAAATTTGGTCACAATTAGACAACCTATTTACGTATTCCATCATCACGGGCAATGATTGAAAGAAAAGCTCATAGCCCAAAACTTTCCTGAAGAGCTTGTGTACAGTTTGCCATTTTCCTTAAAGCTACCGATAGATCAGTGATCAGAATGGTCACTCAGTTGCTTTGTGGTCAATTTTAATATCATTATCATCATTTCAGCCATAGGGCGTCCACTGCTGAACATAGGCCTCCCCCAATGATTTCCATGTCGACCGGTTGCTAGTGGCCTGTCCAGCGCTTTCTTTCTACGTTTATGATGTCGTCGGTCCACCTTGTGGGTGGACTTCCCAATTTTAATATGCAAAATAAAAAAAAATGCAATAATTACATACTATTCACACATACTAAGTTATTAAGACCATTTAACACACATTCCTACGCCCGTATTCACAAACGATGCTTGCTTATATGAAGCAGCAAATCGAACGCACGGCGTTGAATAGAGCTCTGTGATTGGTTCGTGTGTCACACTGTGCGTCCACGCGCACTGTGAGACCTCATAGTAATGTTTGTGAATACGGGCGTTAGATAAGTATGTTTTGTTCTATTATCGTTCGTGACATCTGTTACTATTTTTAGCAACAATCAACTCAAAATGATGCAAGTTAAAAATAAAACCATAAATCAACAATAATGACGTATATCATCGCCACCATTACAACTTTTTATGCTTTCCACTTCTGCAGAAACGAGCGTATCTACTCTCGATTTCGTTCACGAAAGCGAACACGTTTTGATTACTGTTATTTGGTTGCGATTTCTGAAACGTTCGCTACACGATTTTAATTGACTTTCGCTTTTCGAGTATTGTTAGATTTATTGTTATTATTTGCAGCGGTTATGCGTAGGATTTTTATGGAGATTCGTGAACTGTCTTACCTAACATAGGTATTTAAACTTTTTAAACACTTTTTTTATGTAAATACTCAGTCTTACACATTATACAAATGCCTTGATCAATACGTTCAAGCACCTAGCATTGTGCTGAGATTTTGAACCTCTAACTTTTGAATAAATATTATGTAGACTAGCTAGACTTATCAAAAAAAAATCACAGTTCGGATCAATATCCCTACTTAATGTACACTAAGTAGGCATATTTACTCGGCTGCAGTTCCTTTAAAAATAGCATTACAGTTAGTCTTTAAGCTGTAATTCTTATTTAACAACATCATTATTACTACTGCATTGATTTTCATTACAGTAAATAGCCCTAATGACCTATCGAATACGTTTTATTTATCTACTAAAATAGTAAAACATTAAAATTACTATAATCATTACCAAACTTCAGCTCGTAATAACATTAATAGTGACATTGACTTCAAAAATTAAGTACACGGTTAAAGATAAAAGTTCTTTAATAAGGTGATTTCGCAAAGTACGAGTAAATAGACATGCATGTTTCAATTACAATGATTTAGTGCACGCACATTCTGATATTTTGGATAACCCTGATTATGCGGTTGGTTTCAAAACTTTTTGCTAAGTTAACGGTCTGTTTAGAGTTGGAGTCCGCTGTTGATAAACAGCCAATTGTTTCGTATGAAAAAAGACAGTAGTGGAGTTACAGCATAACAACATTACCTAACTAAACAAACGAAAAGAAAACAAGTGACATTGCAAGAAAGACTAAGGCTGAGTTGCACCACCTATCTTTGACCGTAACTATAATAAATAAATAAATAAATATCCTTATACATTTTACACTGCGCTTCTAGTCCCAAACTAAGCAAAGCTTGTACTATGGGTATTGGGTACTAGACAACGGATATAAACATACTTACTTTTTTTTTTTGTAAATACATACTTATTATACATAGAAAACACCCAGTCCAATACAAACAAATAATATTATGTTCATACACACAAATGTTTGTACTGTGCGGGAATCGAACCCGCTACCTCCGGAATAGTAGCCCGTTTCGAACCACTACACCAAACGGCCGACAAATGACGATAACCGGTGTTTTTTGTATGGAGTTTGACAGATTTTTGACGTTTTTCAAAGTTAAAGTAAGATGGTGCAACCCAGCCTAAGGATTGATAGTGCATCTACAAGTTTGAAACCTAATATTCATCTTCTTGTTATTTCATGAATTTCTAAATCTGCTGCACTTTTTTCTCGCTCGCTGCGAGCCCTACTTTGTTGGGTATTTTAAAATACTGTAGTATCAGATGTTTCTAAATTCACATGAGTCTCTAAGTACCTATTGTCACATTGAATAAAAATCTTTTGTCTGTTACAAACCCAGTTAGTAACATAATACGGAACAACAAAAAACCTTTACAATAGCAGTTAATTATCTCGATCACCACCAACACCCAATCCGCAGAATCCTCAAGCAGCTCACACATCAAGTGGTTTACTAGAGCGTGTCGTTGCGCCCGATGTCGCCCGCTTGCGACACCGTTGCCACACGAGTATTAATATCTAAACTTTGGTAATCTTGGCTTACAAAGAACATCCTTGGAGGTGGGTGTATCACATAAGGTTCGGCCAAACCAACGCGATCACACGCGGCGTGCAGCGATGGCGATCAATACATTTAAGTTATTAATATATTTGCAAACTTGTTAGTGTCAGCGTTTGTTTAGTCCAGAAGTAGGAGCGTTAGACCCTCGACTCGTGAGTTCTGGATTCTAGACTCTTAAGGGCTTAGAACGCTCGCGATAAAACAAGGAGTGTTTAAATTGCAAAAAAAATCGATAAAGCAAATTACCCAAAAAGACTAATGAAGTCCTCGTACGTAGTATCTACAGGTTTTAATCCTGACATTATAATAAATCTTTATAATATTTGCTTCCTCAGATCAAACTTAGATATTACCTCATGTAAGATAACATCTTGACGTTTAGACAAAAACCCGATGCATGCCGATCTTATTCATTCCAAGAAATCCTTATCAGTAATTTAAATTTAAAAGCTCTGACATATATATTTTTTTCAAACAAATAAATAAATGTAAGTACAACAAAACTAACTCTGCCATTTTTATTGTCCTCAGGAACATATACAAGAAGTGCTGGATAAATGGACTCAAATCGACGATGAGATCTGGGCGAAGGTGATAGTGTTCGAGAAGAACAGACGCGTTGCCAAAGCGTATGCGCGTGCGCCCGTACTCACTATCAACGGCTCAGATGACGGATTTGACGGCATGAGGTAAGGATATACCATTAATGACCTTAACTTAATGGGATGGCTCAAACTTGGAGTGCAAGTTAGTGTGGTTTTGTTCCCCAATCGACAAAGCACATGATGTCGTGCCCTGCGTGCCCAAACCATTGCACGCAGGAAGATTTAACGAAGGCTACTGACAACGCCACTCTTGTGGCGGAGTTTTGGGCTGACACTGAGATTTGTTGTCGACACGAGAAGAAGATGACCTTAAAGTCCTTGTAGACGAGCAAAATTCTTCAATGATAAGCAATTTAGTCCCGTTGGTAAGGCTTTTAAAGTCTTCCTGGCTAGCTACCACCATATTACCTTTGACTGTTACTTAAGTACTAGTATTTTCGGCAGTTGAAAATTGCCAGTTCCTCTGTAGTTAAATATTCTGGGTGAAACTCGCTTCCACCTTCGGCCTAATTGATCATCATCAGGAGCGATGCGGAAAAACTTAAATGAATAAATATTTGCTCGTCTACAAAGCTTTTGATCCAAAGCATGTTGATATGTGACGATGCAACGTATATCAATTTGTGTAAGTAGTATAGAGTAGAATACAATGTCGAAATGGCATCGCTTAGCGCAATTTGATCCATTTTGTTTGTGTAAGTATTTGCGACATGTTGCATTGCATTGGTGTATTTTAAAGCTTAGAACATTCTTAGTAGACACAGAAAAGGCGTGCCCATTTTATATTTTTTTAATTAGTAATTTTTTAGTTACGATTTCTTTCAATATCAATGTTTTCTTTTTCACCCAACTTTTGCGTGTTCTTAACGGCTTTTAAAATCTCATTAACTAATTTCGAAAATCATTTACAAAATCATCAACAGCTGATTCATTTTGATAATTAAGTTTTATGGCCCAAATTAAATGAATTCTTGTTGAAAAACTGAAGATAATTGAGACTTGAAAAAACATGAAAAGCGAATTTAAATTATTTAAAATCATACAAATGGAAGCAATACTCAACAACATTTTGGACGCATTAATATGGTAAAAATCTGTGGGTGGGAACGGACGTGTCACTCGATTTCTGGTGCAGCAACTACGCCTTTCCTAACTAAGATGCAAAATAGCCTGAGTTTATGATTAAAACTATTAAACTCATAAGATTTAAGTACTTCGGTAAATTCTATATCATTATCTAGTTGAGTCACCTTAAATTGGACTTAACTGTAACTTTCGAAATCTTCATACTTAATAAATACCTTATCGGAAAATCTAATGAGTTCACAAACCTATAATTTAAGCAAAATCATCTTGGAAATGATTCAAACGAACCACTTGGTAAAATTGCCGACACCAATTGCTGATTATTTAGACATGTGCTAACTAGAAACGGTATGAACTTGAACTTTATTGGTAAAGATTTATTGGTCATCAAAATAAAATTACCAAACGATTAACATGTCAAACAACTACCTCAAGTTGACCTGTAGTTACATTGGTTGAGCAACTGCCATAATTAAATCGGGTATCGATGTATTTGCACACGGTTGGCCAACACGACTTAAGTCACTTTCACTACCGATAAGCCAAGTATCACCTTAATCTAGTGCTAATTTGTTTCTTTAAATAAACTGATGGAGTATTCAAGGCCGAGTGGGAATTAGGTTACATGCATCAGGAATCTATTGACTTAGATTTTTTGACGACCTTTTCAGTAGTTTCTTTAAAATATGTGGAAACCTTTAACAGAAAACTAGCTGTCCCAGCAAACGTTGTTTTGCACCTAGAGATATGAAAAATAGTTGGTCTATTTAAAAACTAGACGTTACTTTAGCCTACAGAATCGAATGAAATCAACATCACTGATTTATAGACCCTCAATCATTCATTGTAACTCTGAACCGGTGTTGAAGCGCATTTTTTAGTATGACTCAACAATCTTTATTAAGTACAAATTATTAAGTTGTTACAAAAAATTGCGTTACTACACCGGTAGCTTTCACTATCACATTCGCTAGCTCGAATCAAAATCTCAGTCCGTTAGCAGGTGAAACCAGCAACCTTGCGCATGTCACGCTCCGTTGAGCCCGTATCTTTTGTTAATGCTTCAAATTTCAGAAATGTAACTAGCCCAAATCAGTAATGATTAGAAATAATTGCAAGACAGTTTGTTGATAGACAGTGATCAGTAACAGATCGGGTTTAGTGCTTCGAGTAAACTAAAGATACTAAATATTCTTCTACTGGAAATTGGTAAAGCAATGACAATTATTCAAGTTACATAAGCTCTAAATGGAATAAACGTTGAAGATGCCACATTCATTAAAGCCATTACGATTGATACGAAACTCAAGGTCAATTAAAAAACCAAAAGAAATGTAACATACGATCGTGATCAAGATACCGATGCAATTACACTTCACGGTCAAAGCTAAAATAATTTCTATGCAAATGTTGAATAGGACGCAATAAAAATCAAAGCGATTGTCGAAACTCTTGACGAGGGGAATGTGTTGAACAATTAAATTGCCAAATACATGTAGAACAATAATAAATTAAAGTTTGTTTGTGCCGATAAGCCGTACGTATCACGACAACGTGACTCCTAACAGGTAACGTAGGTTGAACAAATCTAGCTCATTCGTGATTTGAATTGCGCAATGGCAATTATAAAGTTGCTGTTGGGAAATGATTTAGTTGAACCGGCAACACTGCACTTATGATAAACTCAGTGACAGGTAAAGATTGGCCGACGTCGTCTGGTTCAATTTTTCGTGACAGCTAATTGCATAGTCCAGATTTTGAAATCTAATTACTTCCTTTGGCTTTACCATGCTTTACTTTCCGTTTATAAAACTTATATCTCATGGAATAAGACTCAGAACTCGAAAACAGTTAATCCCCTGTCAAATACCTGTTTATGCCACGTCATTTGCAAACTCGTTTTCATTTTTGTGGTTTCTCAGCAGTTTTGGAGTTCATTAATAAAAGGTGCATAACCTACATCAGGTAAATCCGACGGTTTAAGTATTTTCGTACCCTTTGCTCATGCTGAATTGAGCTCAAGGATATTTACCTGCTTTCGTCGAATTGCTTCTTGTAAAATTCTGCATTGGCTGTCATTTTTATCTTAACAGTAATAAGAAGTAGGCAGGCATAATATAATTTTTAGTTGCCCATAAAAAATTTAAAGTAGTTCAGGTCGCTATCTTAATTACACGTTTCACTGTCTAATAATTATGGTCGAAAACAGTTCAATCAATTACAAGCGATGATCATCATTAGCACTTTCATAAATTAGTTTTAAAACTTTCCATTCTGTTTGTAGATCAGAATAATGAGGTGGCTAATTATGAAGTATTTGCAAATAACAAAGCATAAGAGAACGGTGCACTTGATTTAATTTGACAGAGATTGATTGTCCCACACCATTCAACATTCAACAAAGAGATAAATTCGCTAGTAGTATAAGCAAACAAATGAGATAATAAGCTTATTTGGAACAGACACGTGCCATAATAGCCTTTAATAGGCTTAGTGTATCCGGCCTATTAAGTACCTGTTAAGACCGAGGCGACTTTTGCAACTCTTAAAAATGACTCCCGTTATGAGGTCGTTTAGACAAGCGGTTAGTTACAAGAAGGTTGACTCGTTAAGATACCCACAAAAAACTCAATGAATTATTCTATGAATGTGTTGATAATAAGCTTTAGCCCATTCATAGTGGGCGCTTATTTGAATTCATACTTTGATCTGCAAAAACAATTTAGCTGCAACTTGGAGCTGCAACAATTCCGAAATTAGACAAAGATACATTGCATATTATGATAGATTGTATCTTCAAGGCTAACTCCTAATAAGACGTTTATACAATTACAATAACTTATTGTGTATGAACAATTTTGTCTACGGTTAGAGTAAAGAAAATTCAAGTCGTTGTTTAGTATAAGAGCCATGAGATTAGAGTTGAGAATGTTTAGTTGCGATTCTTCAATAAGTATAATAATCCGCACGGTTTAAGCGAAGCACTAGAAATACAATCAAATACATTACAAAGTATTATTAAAAGGTCAAATAAGTATAAAAGTATCCACACTTCACGGGCGGTCACCACCAAAGGGCAGACGAAGATGAAAGTGGAATATTCACAATCACAATGACCAAATATCCATACAATGTATGAAGAATAAGCAAACAGTGTCAAGTGCTCAATGGAGGTACGTCGATCGTGCGCACGTGTTTTTTTGTTGCAGTTAAAATATGATTGTATTAAAATAAAAACTTTTACCATTCAAATCAATATTTGAGTACCTTAGTTCTCGCAATGATCGCACGAGTCACGAATGTGAACGTGTCGAGAATTGTAGTTGTATCTACGAGTGAATACCTATTGAAAAAATATTCTGAACTCTACTTTAAAAGTGGGAAAAAAAACTTACGTAAATTAAAACAACTGAACTGAATAAAAAGATCCAAAATTACTTACTTCTAAAAAAAATTTAACGCCGTAAGTATAATATACTATTATTATATTATTATTTGGATACTGACTTCCAGAGATGTAAGACCTACAAAATTTATAGGCTTACATTATTGTGGATGTGCCTTCAAATTTAATCAAATTAGCGTTTTGACATGCCTACGAGCAGTAAACTACCCCTCTTAATAAAAAAAAAATAATCCAAAAACTTCTATAAGTAAGAAATTGTTGGCATATTTTCTCTATTTACGTTAAAAATTCACTATAATTTTCTTCATCTATCATCTTTATTTTCTCCACTAACGTTCAAAAACGTCACAAATCCCAATCGCGCGCCCTAGCGTGTCGATTGCATCTGTGCGCGCGCAGCCGCGTAATGACACGGAAGTATCTTTGCATAGCAGATCATCGCCGTACTGTCTCCTTTAGAATAGGGCTCCTACAAATATTTAAATAATTTTACTCAAAGTATTCCAAAATAAACGTTACAAAATTAAGTGAAAAAAATACGCCACAACGCAAAAAAACAATGTGCAAAGGGCATTTAATTAAACTTTTGAAA